ACACTAAATAATCTCAGGATACTTCAATTAAATTGATATAGGAGCTTAAAAGGTGTAGACTGGGAAATGTCTAACAATGGCTTGTTTCTCATCGTAAGCATAAAAGTCAGTCAAAGGCAAACAAAACCCCCAATAATAACTTCCAATATTGCCATATATTGTCCCTCCATCTTTTTTTCTTCTGCTTTTGAATTGAGCCTAGTGAAGTTGCTTTTATCATTTTACACAAACATACACAGACTTGAATTCAAGAAGAAACCAGTGCAGAGCTCCCACATTCCAAATCAGTGACGCATTTACAAGACTTTGAAATATGGGCACTGACAAAATAGAAACCATGCCCTAAGCCTGTTTAAAACCAAGTTAATCAGGCTATGTTGTTGGTCTCCAACATGCTACAATACGACACATGATCCATTTGAGTGTATTATTCTATCATGGGTTTGAAAAAAGAGATTAAATATACTTGGAGGAAAAAAAGCTGAAACAAATGTTTGCAGAAGCCCGGAAGACCCTCTGTGGAAATTGAGGCTTTGCTGGAGTGCAGCTGGAGAGCGGTGGGAGGAAAGACGGTTGTAAAGCTTGCATGATATGGTGGATTGGAAAACAAGAAAAGCTAACATCTCTTTAGAAATGAATTCTGTGCCAGGTGTTGTGCTCAGTGCATAACATGGATTATGCCTTAAATCATCACAATGACGTTAGGAGGTACTACCCTTCTTTTTAAGACAAGGAAACTGAAGTTTTGACGGGTTAAACATACTTTTCTTGAGCCAGGTGGAAGAGCCAGGTGGTGACCTAGTTAAGTGGAGCAAGTGCTTTTGCTCTTTTACTCTGTATTACCTGGGAAAACTTTGAGTAGTATAATGAGTGGATTGTAGAGAATATTTTGCTAGAAAAAAATCATCATGGAGATTGGTGCCTGTTGCTCAATGATGTGAGCTTCCCACTTGAATTCCACTCTCATTTACAGCAAATTATTAGTGTGCCTGATCCCATGACCTACTATCTAATGTGGCTGCTCCAAAAGTAAGATACAATAATTTCTCAATCCTTGGGAGTGTTTTGTAACTCGGGTGCCCCAAAACTCCTACTCCTCCATGTTTTCTTGGCCTACATACCTGGGGAACGGAGACTGTGACTAGGAAACTGCTTAGAATGGGTCAGGTAACCTCTCTCTGAAACTGCTCAGATGGAACAGAAAACACCATTGTGATTGTGGAAATCTCTTTTATGTGCTCATTACTGATCTGGACATATTTGTTGGGCCTTTCTGGGGGGAGCTTCTGGGCTTGGGAGACCATGGGAAGCAATAGGCATATTGGAGAGTGGATGGAAATTTGGAGGCAGGCTCCCTTGGATTTGATCCTGTTCTGTCACTCACTATCTGTGCAGTCTCAGACAAGTTCCTTTACCTCTCTGAGCCTCCGATTCTGATATTTAAAATCTCATTAATACTTTACAAAATTAGAGATGATGTAAATCAAACTCCTTATAGTGCCTGGCAAAATAGTAAATATTCAGTACATGTAGTTGTTATTTTTTTTTCAGTTATAATTGACATGCACTATTATTTTATATTAGTTTCAGGTGTACAGCATAGTGATTAGACATTTATATGATTTATGCAGTGACGCCCCTGATTAGTCAAGTACCCACCTGGCACTATACGTAGTTGTTGCAATGTTATTGACTATATTCTCTATGCTGTACTTTACATCCCCATGACTATTTTGTAACTANTTGTCTCTCGCCTTCCCAAGAAAAATGTCTGCAGGTGTAAGAGGGGGCTTGAAGGAAGAGGTTAGGAGTAATTGATGACCAAAATGTTAGAGACATGTAGTATGCCATGTCTGCACATACTAAGTACTCAAGAAATATCAGTTGAAAGAATGAATTATTTACAGAAGGTCTAGAGTAGCCCACATTCCAAGTGGCAGGAAACTTAAAGGTGAGAACTGCTAAATTAGTTAAACAAAGAGGCCATTAGACTGAGATGGCTTTAATGCCTTGTATAGATAAGCAAAACAAAACCTAAGCCTAACAGACTCCAGGTTAAGAAACCAAAACCTAAGAACAACAAATCACAAGCGGCCAATTAGGCTTTCTCAAACAAGGAAACTGCTTAAGCTATAGCCAATCAAAGAATTACCTTGCTTTGTTTCCACCTCTATAAAAGTCTTTCCCTTCACTCCAGTGAAGCCCTTCTAAGGACTTGTTTTGGCACTGCCTGATTGGTATGATTTTTGCCCAAGTAAACTAAAAATTTTAACATGCCTCAGTTTATCTTTTAACAGAACCATAAAATTGGATTCTTGCTACAGAGAGTTACCAAGGGTTTTTTAAATTCTGTGTTTCAAGTTGGAATTGTGTATTATTTAATTTTCCATTTACCAATTCATTTTTCCCTCTGTACCATTATTTGTGCACACCTCTGTCCTCTCCTTGCAGGCATGGAAGAAAAGGAAGGATTTATTTTCTTAATACATGTCCTTCTGTAGAATGAGCAGATATAAGCAATGAAAGTCAACTACTGGTATCTCTAGTTTGGTAAATGTTGAAAGTTGTTAAGAGACATTAGATCAATAAAGACAAAAGACTTTATAGTCAGATTTGATAGTCAGATTTCAGACCTGCAATACTGACACTGGCTTTTCAAGTGTGCAAACCTATATTAAAGTTAAGAAAGTGGGTAAATTATGATAATAGTAACACTTTCCACCTATGCCATCCCTATA